ACCTGCCTTCTGTGTCACATTTCTAGCACAATCATTTATTCCAGTGTCAATTATTGCTATATCACATATTTCCTAACTTGCGCCTTCCTGAGCTTTCCACCTCAGTTTCTGTCATCCATTAGTGTTTTGTACCCAACATTAAAGTAACAACACAGCAGCAACCGAACACCTTAAAATAAAATTAAAAGAAGAAAGTAGTTTTGCCAGCTAGGAAATCCTACAGCAGAAATTAAGGCAGTTCTATAGTTAGACCCTGAAAGAGCACCAATTTTAGAAGAGTGAAGATTTAAGCTCTGAAGAGATTAAATTAGAAGGATACCTTTCAGGCAGCAGCTGATCCTTTACAAGGTCAGAGAATAACAATATACGCACATGCTCGCCAAAAAAAGCACCTCAAGTGTCATTGAGGTTCTGGCTGTTTTCTGGGGACAAGAAGCTAAGTGTGAGATAATCCCAGTACAAGCCCACCTTCCTTCCAAGCCTGAGGGAAGGATATAATTAATTAGAATAGGCTGCAAGGGAAAACCTAGGAAACCATGGAACTGTTTGGGCATTCAAAGAAAGCTGCCTGGTGGCACTGCAGGGCAGGACTTCCCTCCTGGACCACGGATGCTGCTCCAGAGGAAGTGCCCAGGTCCCACCCAGTCCCCAGCAGCCCTGGGATGCACTTTGCACAGCCCAGCTGGCTCAGTGGCACTGATCCCACACCTTCTCACCAGCCTGAACTGCACAGGCCACAGCAACCACAGAAGCCAGAAAAGCTTTAGAGCAGTTGCTTTCCTTTTCCTACAAGTCAGAGTTTATTTTTTGGCTGATAGCAGACAAACTGCAAAAGTTCCTGAGAAAGATTACATACTACTTTGCATGTTAGAAATGTTGCTAATTATGTCTTGGGTAAGGAAAGCTAATACTGAAATAATAAATGAAGCATTCTTGTTCCATTTATAAAAGTTTCAAATAAGTGAAAAAAAACTTTTTACTTTCTTCTCCACACTTGTTTTGTTCTTCTTTCTTTCTTTGTGAGCATGAGAGAAAGAACTGGGAAGATATTTACTGTGGAAAGTAACACCCCTGATTATTTGAAATCTCTTATCTAAAAATAGCGGTTACTCTGGGGTAATGGTGGTAGGCTTGGTTTCTCTAGGGAATTAAGAATTTTATAACTGGATATACTTAACTAATATTTAGTAGTATACACTCATAGGAAAGATATTTTTATCTAAAACCAGCTAATTTTAACATTCTTACAACGGCTTTTTCCTTAAACAGAAGCTACATACAGTACTTAACCTGAGAATCTAATTTCATTTTTCTGCAGAACACCTGCATGTAAGAAATAGTGGTGAAAAACTGGCTTCTAATTGTAAAAAATGTGCTAAAATTGTTGTCACTGATTAAACAAACTGAATATACCAAATTGCCTTTTTTAACTAGGAAGAAAACATTTTATATTTTAATATATCCACTTATGTCTAAAAATTTCTTTCCATCTCATCAAATAATACAAATCAGCCTTTTTTTTCATAAGACAGAGAAGGAGCTCTGAGAAGGAGTTCAAATAGGAGCTGCAATCACCTGAAAGTAAGAGGTTAAAAAAAGGTACTAACAGAAACAAAAATAATACACTGAATATTTTAACAACTGGATTAAAACTGTCCAAAGGTAAAATTGCCAAAGATCCCATTAAAACCCAACAATATGCATAAACACCAACATGAACAAAACCTTGAAGTTTAACAGTCCAGGGCTACTTTGGAAGAGCAGATGTGTTGCGTAGAACCAGGGCTCAAAGAGACACAAGGTGAAATCTGCTCTTTAATTAACTCCTCTTTTCCATCACTGAAGAGAAATGAACTCCAGTTGTTCCTTGAATGTGTCTGTGTATTAATGCCTCAGCATTCTGGAAAGCTGCTGTGGCTGTGAGGTTCTTGGGTTCTGTGATGCACTTGGGTTCTGGGCTGCACTTCTTAAAAACTGAAGCCAGTCACAGAATTATGAAGGACCAATCACCAAGACTACCCTTCCTTCCCCAAATGCACAACTGAAGGCACAGGGGAAGAAACAAGCAGCCCTTTCAGACAGTTATGTTATAGCCAGAGATGAGCACAAGCACGTCCCAGCAGTCACACAGAAAAAGCAGCAGAAGCACCTCTCCTCTTCCTGAGCTTGCAACTAACCCTTGTCCCTCTGTAGTCTCAAACTGACCCAATTCCAGAGTCCAGAAAAACAATGCATTCCAGCCCTCCACTGAGACTGGGCTGGAGACTATTAATAGACGTGGAAGAGCACACACTGAGATACTTTCCCATCAGAAGCCAACAGCTGCACAGGAGAACAAGCATGGCTCAGACTCCAGAGTTTCTTGTACCCAAGACTCTTCCCCTGCTTAAACCCACACACCCAGAGGGCACACAGCATGTCGGCTCAAAACTGAACACAAAACTCGGGTCTCAGCTGCTCTACCTGCCCAGTGTCCACACCTGCCTTGCAATTCTCCAGACAGAACATCACAAGCTCTCCCTGAACCGACACTAAGCATGCCTCACACAAGGAAGCAGCACCTTCTGAGAGCTGCTAAATAGACAGCATCATCTTGACCTGACCAAAACAGCTCAGTTCTTCAAGTCAACTCTATGTTCCACTGCAGAGAATAATTTTCTAGCTGAAGTACCAAAAAGACAGTGAAGCAGAATTAGGAATGTTAAATTAAGAATTGTAGCTTTCAACTGCTTCATATTTAAGATGCCTATCCAACACACAGAAAAATTAAAACCTCTAGTCAGCAACTCTGTGGGCTTAGTATCAATTCAACTTGCACTTTTGTTACAATTAACATTTCATATTTTCTATATTTCTAAGGCACTGAATGCTATCCTTGCATGTATTTTAAGATCCAGACTAAATATCTGAAATTTGTAAAAAAATTTCCAGTACTCTGCACAACTCACTATTTAATAAACCCTTGTTAAGAAGTGAGAGAAAAATGCATTAGCCTCCAGACAAATAGATGCAGCACCATGCAATTGTGCCAGTGCAGATCATGAATGACACCAGAGTTTAACATTCATTCATCACTCCTGATTAAAGGCTATTTAACAATCCTCTACAAGAGAACAATGACAACACTGATGTGATCCTGTGATGTGGCTTTATGTTCTTTCTACTCTCACATGTTGCTATGGACCATCTGTGGCAAAATACAGCATTGTATCATCATCAAAAACCAGCCTTTTTTGTTTCAGCATAACTGCTATATAAACAGTTTCCTTGACTCTAGAAAGAATGTTCATTGTTGAGTCTTAACACACAAATCAGAACTAACCTGTCTTCAAATTAATATTCTCCACCTCATTAATGGCTATTTAGGCAGTGAAGAACTAAGGATGGCCAATCCAATCTCATGCCTTTTCAAAATACACACTCTTAAATGACACTTAGCTTATACCCTGGTAAGCAGAAAGAGTTGGGGTTGCATTTATAACCCACAGAACCTCCCAATTTCCTTACATGGCAGAGGTTACTATCGCTGCTATCAAGACTCTGGGATGACCTTAGTCTTATCAATAGGTCTATTTCTCAGAAGCTGCTTTGTAGCAGTTGACTACCATATAGATTTACAGGTTTAAACACTAGCATGTCTAGATATAGCTCCACTCAGGCCCATCGGGTTATCATCAGATGGCCTCTGATGAGGACTTCAAAAAAAGTAGCAAACATCCTTACCCACAACTCAAGACAGAAGAAATCAGAAGCGTGGAACATCTTGTTCAAGAAAATCCAGCAGACAGAGTTGACAACAGAATCACAAGTTCCTGTCTTTGACATACAAGTATTACTCTATCCTGCTGGATATATTACTTGAAAAACAATGGTCATGGTTTGAATTTCTTAAATTTGCAGCAATGGCAAAGGCAAAACATTTCAGGATCCTATCAAGGCTTTGAACATGCAGAGCTTTTTAGTATTACTGAAATTATGATTTGGTAAATGCAGCAATTGAAATATGATGTGTTTTTCAACTAAGTTTCAGCTCACTGCTCCCTTCTGGTCTCATTAAGCCACTAACAAGTAAAAAGTTGCTCCTTGGTGCCTTCTGTTGCCATACACAAAGAGCTGCTTACTCAGAGGCAAAACCTTTACTCCACCGTGGAGCTCAGTGTACCCTTGACAGATCATCACATTTCAGTGTGGGCTCTGCCACACACTGAGGTGAGCTACATTTGTACCTTCCTATTTACAAACACTCAAATGTGCTTTATCTGGCTACAGCTTTCCTTGTATGTTCTCGCATCATAAAGAACAATGAAAGAAATCCCAGACTTCTGCAAAACAGAAAGCCCCACACAGATACAAAAAGACACAGAAATCAGTCCCCTGTGATCCTGGGATGCAGAAATAGCACAAAAATATATGCAGCATGTTATTACCCAATACTGAGCCATTCAGAGTACGTCCTTCTTGGTATTCCACTCTACAGCAGCCAATCTGTAGATTATTCCTCTCTTAAATTTCTTGCATTTTCATTTCTTACAAAAATTTTGCTTTGACTGTACTGCATTAATTCGGTAACAGTTACTAAAAGTTTTATAAAAATCATCACCTGAAAAAACCCAGAACACACAATTACAAGAGATCAAGCCACAGATTGCTGTAATTTTGAGTTTATGCCAGTAATGACATCTCTTAGCATATCATCTAGGAAGCTAAAAAAGGCTCAGGCAGCTATGAAAAAATGCAGCATGCAAACCCCTGACAAAGCTGTGTCAGAACACATCCCATTCACATCCATTCAGATTCATCCCATCAAGCAGAGATTTCCATCCCAGCTTGCTTCTGGCATTTTGCAAACGCAGTGTCAAGTGACAGTATCACAGTGGGAACACTGCTGCTCCTGTTAGGCCTGGAATTAAGACATAGCTCATCTCTAAGTGCTCGCTCTGGAGGAGAATGCATGCTAGAAGCCATCCCAGCTCTGTGCTGAGAGGTATTTCCATACTTACTGGTGCTACTATTTTGCCCGTCTGTCCGACTTGCATGTCATTAGGAACAAAGCCAGCATCAACAGCTGCACGGGAAGCTCCAACTAGTTGAAAGAAAATATTTTCAATGTTTTCTTCTAAAATATTTGTGAGCCAAATTTATATCACCATAAAAGCCCATGTATTTTACTGAAGAGTCCCACACTCTAAGGGCATGTATTTAAAAACCTCCCTCTTAAAAGCTCTTATGGTAATCCCTCTCTATACCACTAGCTAAAAACTTCCAAATACTAAGTGCTAATGCACTTCATAAGCAACAGGAAATCCCTACTCCCAGCACCAAAGGCCATATATTTAAACCAAGGATGTCAATCTGGCATATTTCCATGATTTTTTTCTTGTTGTTTTGTGAAAAGAATATTTTCCCATAAACGCCTTCCCAAAATGTTCCTTCAAGTCTGAACGGAACATATGTGCTATCTTGTATTGCTGTGAATCTCAAAAGTCAGGCATGGTAAAGAAAAATATCAAAGTAAACTCAAAAATGCCATATGGACATTTAGTTAGCAAAAACACCACTTTAAAAACTAAGCCAATCATGTAAAACTATTAATGTGAATGCTACAATTAATGGAATCAAAACATTAGCGCAAACAGTTTCTTCTTCTTTCCCTACCTTTATACAAAATACTTCACCAAAACATTGCATATGGTTTATTTTCTCCTGTTAATACAAAAGCACTGAGCCACTCAAACTACAATGTGAGTGGGATTCTGTAAAGAAGGACTAGAAATGTATATACGCAGAAAGTATCAGCTCTTCAAAATGAGCTATGACCACTTTCTGTTCTGGAGATTTGAGAAGCACAGAGAGTATTATAGGTTAGTATTTTGCTTCATACACAGGCACTTAAGTATAGTTGACAAAACTTTATCTATTACTAAACTAAGAGCATTTTAACCATTTCATAGAGACATGAAAATAAAAGACTTAAGCTAAATTCTGGTTTCAATGTGACCTGTTTAAATATAATAAACAGGGTTAAAAAAAGGAGGAAAACAAGTTTACCTGCAGCATGCAATTGATCTGCAAGGTCATACAGCAACTTAAAATTTTCACCACTCTTCAAGCCCCTTCCTTGCAAATTAAGAACAAAAGAAGATCAAGAAATAAGAACATGTGTTTTAAGATTTTTTTTGCCTACGTAAACTTTCTGTATGAGTATTAGCATTTGCAAACACTCAAAGATATGATTGCATAGGGTATTTTTGGTTGGATACATTACTAACCAGTACTTAATATTTGGAGATTTAGCTTTTGTCTATGCCATTAGCATTTCACGTGTATAAACCAACACCACTCTGTCTTGTTTACTTCCTGCACACAGCACCATCAAGGTCATTCTCCAAAGCCAGGGAAACAATTTTTTTAACTAATTTGTGCTCCCTCTGCTGGCTTCAGGAACAAAACACTGTTGTGGGATTACTACGAAATAATTTTAGCTGTAGGCATACAGTAAAAATCACAGCCCATCACTTGATACCTAAGGAGTAGAATACAATCAATACAGGTTTTAAAATAATTAAGGTCATTACATAATAATGTTCAGACTGACTGAAATGATCAGCAGTAATTTTGATACATGATAAATTTTGATACACGAAAAACATAATACATTTCCATCTAAAAAACAGTTCATATTGCTAAAATTTCGAAGAGGCTCATCAAATATAAAAATGTTCTTACAAAGCCTCCCAGCATATGCTAAACTCATGTATTACCTCTTTACAAAATACACATGAGGTGCTTCCCCGGTAGCCCCCATGGAATATCATCATTTCTTTTTTTTAATGTATTACATAACAGTGTTCTGCTACAGCCATGATATACCAAGAGGTGCCATTAGTGCAATGCAGCCTCAGTCAGGTCACTGTGCTCACTCACCCCCTGACACAACCACTCTGGCACTGGTGAGCTCCGGCCGGTCGCTCTTCGTCAGCTTCTGCTCAATCCACTCCGAGATACCCACGGGTGGCGGGGGGGTCACTGCAGTCACCACATGAGCCAAACACCCACAAGGAAATTGAGAAAGCATGTGTTTTCAAACTGAAACCTGAGCTCATGCTTAACTCAAAGTTCATTCTACAATCGATTCTACCTCGTGCTTTTGCCGAGTCTCAGCAGTTGCTCCTGGCACTGAGTAACGAGCCTTGTTCACCAGCTGTGCTCAGGGAACCTACAGCACAAACTGCACTACAGGGAATTCTGCTGTACAAGTGCTACACACTGACACCAACCCAGCAGAACAAGTGTGAGCCTTACCATCACAGGCAGACACGTCGCTCAGGCAACACACCAACAATGCAACACACTAATTGAGTAACGTTTGAATTCTGCCACCCACAGACGTTAGGAAATACGGGATAGTTCAGAGGCAGGGACTAAGCCACAAAACAAAAAGGCTCGCAGTGAAAAACAGCAGAGGTCACCAAAATGGAACAGGTTAACCAGAGTAGTTGTAAAGTCTCCACCTGTGGACATTCTCAAAACCTGACTGGACACAGTCCTGGGCAACTTAGTCCATGGGGCTGGCCTAGATGATCTCTAGAGACCCTTTCCAACATCAATTACTTTGTCATTCTGTGACTGGATTTCTCAATTATCAGAGCTACACTGGCTTCATTGAATTGTAAATTGAACTGATATGGTTAAAACTGATCTAAAAAAGCAACTCCGTATTCTCAAATCAATTTAAACTGCCACTAATTTAGCTTGATGATGTAATGACCTATCTCAATTGCAATATGACTAAACCAAAAATATGGAGCGCCAAACACTTCTATTTTTGCTCAGTCTTGTTTTGAAAACCAATCTGGTTATTCAAACAGCTGTAAGGACAAACTTGTCCTTACTTAAAGTTTCAAAACTGCAGCGGCAGACGTTTAGGCAGTGGAACAAGCATGGATTTCAGCACAGATAATCTCATTTCTGGTCAAGGACAAGGAAGTAACTGTGCAGATAATCTGTATCTTCTCTTACCAGACATCACTAAAAAGTGCAAGCACCTGTATTTAAAAGTATAAAGCCAACATGATGACAATCAGTTTGCTTTGACAAATCCTTCTACAAAACACCATGCAGTGAGCAAAACTAACTCTATTAAATAAAACAACGGCATCGCAGAACAGATACTCACACTTTTCTACACTGGCATTACCACCACTCACTGGAGCAGCCTCAAATGAAGTTCCCCGTACAGTAAACACTTTGATTGCTTCATCACACTGCACAGTGCAAATAATATTTCCTAAAAAAAGGGACATTAAAATTTTAAATATTATCAGACATACTGTGCTTTAAAAAAAACCCCAAAATTAATATCAAAACCACATTAGCAATTGTACTAGCATATGGAACATCCACCAAGGTACTTCCCAAAATTGTAGTTTTAGATGACTAAAACTTGGCACTTAATAAATAGAGATTACAAATACTTTCATTTATGTTTTAGCCCCGTGTTTCTAAAGTATAAATACAAATCATCTATTTTTAAAGGAGACAAAGCATTCAAATCATCTCTTATGAATGAGATTTTAAATTTCAGAATGGATGAAAAAAACACCTTTGAAAATGGCATTCTTACACATAAAGAATGTCTGTAATTCAAAGTAGATCTTTTATCCTGTTGCGTTAATTCATCAGAACTGAAGACAATGAGGCCTCCTCCAAGTATCTGTGGGACTGTGTTTCTCTCTATAATATAATACTTCGCACTGGAGGCTGCAGGGAATGCTAAAAGAAAAAATGCTGCAACATTCATAAAAATTCAACTATTCATAAACAAGTCATCTTGAAACTGTGAATTACTGGGAAGTAACTTAAAGTGCAGTACTAAACCACATTCCAGTACCATAATTCAAAATGTAATACCCTGCTGGTACATGTGGTACAATCTTAAGAAACACAAGCTAATGAGCCAATATTTAAAATAAAACACAGTGTCAGCCAAGCATTAGAGAAACAAGGCTGAAAAAATAATTACAAATTAAGGTAATTAAATATTAGAAATAATTCATTCAATGTCTTCGTAATTAGAAAAAATAACCCTGTGGTATCTTAAATCAGCACTAATGCTAGTCTTATTAAATAAAGCTGGACAACTAACCTGATGTCTTATGCTTTCCAAAACCTGACCAGAAGGGCATTAACAAACACAGTCCATGGAAAGGATGGGACCAAATTCTGTTCCTTAAGGTGACAGACATGGGTTTGACATGCTGCTACCAAAGCCCTTGGAATTATTTGCTTTCTCACACAGGGAACATCATGTCCATCCCCAGGCTTCATTTTTTATGAGTCACAGCAATTGAGATTGTAAACGGAAAACTCCTATCATATTCCAAGGTTTTAACATTAGGATCACGTAGAAAAATTAGCACTACTGGATTCTTAATTGGACAAATACCACACAGCTTTTATGATTACCCACCTGCATAGATAGTTCTCACAAAAGTATCTGGGGACTTAATTTCAATAATATCAGAAACAGGGGCAACATCAAGCTTGCCAGCCACTCTGGGAATAAGATTCTAGAAGTTAGAGATGACAAGTTAGCAAAGTAAGCAAAGTAAAACACACATGGTCAGTAAAAGAACACTCCTGACCCAATTTTAGCTTCATATGGCTCTATATGGCTCTAAGACATCTAGAACTAAGATTTTTGAAGGGCTACTCATGTAGCTTTAGCAGCCAAATAAAACCCCATTACTGTAATAGCATTAGACATTTTACGAGACTTACTGTAAGTAAACCCTTAATTCAATATCTTAAATTAGGAGACTTATTTGCTTCAAATATTCTAAAACTGAATATAGATGCCATTTACTCAGAAAATTGACAGTTATGGATTGATGAGGTCTTGGCACTTCAAGGGGGAAAAAAATGGTGCTTTTGGAAGTTAGATGCCAGAAATTATAGGAAAAAAACCCTGCACTCTTCCGTCCAAAGCAAAAAAAAAATTTAAATTTAATATTAAAGTATATATTCTCTTGCTCCAAAATTTACTCCAGAAAATTAATTAGCACCTTTAGAGTGGGAAGAAATATAAAAAGAGCAGCAGAAATGATGAAGAAATTAATGGTAAGATGATTATTCACTTTTTGTCTGCCTCCTAATCTGGTACATGAAAAAAGGCCCAGGTCTGAAATCTTTACTCACACGAAGCACTCAAAAATGGCAGTGTAAGCTTTAAAGCAAAAGCCATTAACTCCTACTATGACACTGCAGTTTAAAACAAAAAGAAGAAAAAAAAAGAAAATAAAATTTAAAACCTAAGGCTTAATTTCTCGTAGAAAAACACAAGCATGTGGATTGCTATTGATTAGAAGTGAAAGCAGTCAGACAGAAGGCCGATGTGATTACCTGTCCTACATCGGCAAGATTTCTGAAGGATCCTTTTTTCTAATTTACTGCACCACAATGTTGCCCAGATTCTTAATACTGAGGCCTTCCATGCACTTATAAACACATCCCCAAAAAAAAAGTTTCTTTTAAATTGTATTTTCATTAAAAGCCATCCTGGTTGGAACTAAGATCTGTTATTTATATATGTTTACAGACATTTCAACATCCATGACTTATATCACAGATGCAAATCCCACTCCAAAAAAAAAGTTTGCTTCCAATAGGTTTGCACACTTTCATTTCAACATGAAAATAACAGATTTTTCATCCCAATTTGCTGTGCCTTTCCTTACAATTTTCATGCTTTCAGATCACTTAATCCGTCTGCCTTATTGCACATTTTGCCTTGTGTCCATAGGGTTGGCTGGTTACCACAGAATATTTCTTCTACGCTATTTTTTTCAAATCAGCTCATAAAAGAACTCAAACATGAATCATTAAATCTAACTAATGACCTCTTAAGCAAACTACTGTAAAATAGTTTGCTAATGCAGAACTGTCCATGGCTTATCTCTCTCAGGCCTTTGATTCACACTCTTACATACAGCAGCGTCTGTCTCTTTTCTACAAGAACTTTTTGATGCTCTTTGATCTAATACTTACCTTCCCAAAGGCAGATGCTCCGGCACAAATGTGGGTGTAATTAAATTTTTTATGAGTTTCCACAATCAAGGGAGTCAGCTCCTCTGAGAATAAAAATATATTACTCAGGATTTACAACTATCTTATTTTCAATTACAACTACCCAAATAAATTTCTTTTATCAATAGGTAAGAACAAGAACAACTCTCACCTGCTAGAAATCCCTTGTACACATCATGCTGAGCCACGAGAACTTTTGCAACGCCCTGCACTTTGCTGAGTTCTGACGCTACCTGTGATCAGAAGTGAATTATTATTAGTTTGTGTTTTAACAGGCACCACAAATATGTAATAACGTAGTCCCCACTGCAAATAGCTCACAGCCTATAGATTCAGAAAACCAGAACCAAAAGTACATCAATTTCAAAATCAGTACCGACCTGAAAGGGAAGAAATGCGGGTCTTCTGACCCACAGCATAGCGCCTCACGGGACAATGAAAATGAGTTTGTGAATGAGAGCGAACGGAGCAAATCACACTGGGGAGAACTTTCCTCCTGCGTGCAGGGCTCCACACCGACCCCAGCATTTCTTACTGCAGCCAGCAACAGCCACCCAGAGGATTACTGCTCAGTGTTCCAATACAATCACCAAGAAAACAATCCTACTTTCTTTTAGATCAGTCAGTATCTACCATACAAATACAAATGTACAATGCTGTTATGATTTTTGTCCAAATTCTAGGAGCAACCCTTTGTTTGCATCTGACTTTTTGCCCACTGAAGCAATGTGAATTTTCAATTTATATTTATGCTTTTTTTTTTTTTTTTTTTTTGAATTGGCACAAGTGAAGTTTAAATGATAAAAGGGTTACTGCAGATCAGAGAGAAGAGGACTGACAGCAAGGTCTGGAGACCACATGCATCACCCAGAAACAGTGTAGTTTTACTGAGTTTGATGAGTATCAGTTTACCCTCAAAAATTAACAAAAGGAAATAAAGAAAAAAACCCTAGTAGCTGCTACAGAATATCTGTTTGAGTCACTGGCTCTTAAATAAAAATCTCTAAGCCTTTGTTTTTTATAAAATACTTTTTCCCACCATAACATACAGACTCCATATATTTAGCATTAAAACAAACAAACAAAACATTCACAATCTTTTTTCTCCTATGCAAGTGCATAAAATAAGGAGAATTAAAGACACATGTGAGGCAATTATTTCTTTTTTTTGTTTTTCATTTTCTTGATTTAGATAAATATTTGCTTCATCTCCACCTTAAACACCTGAATAGCTACTGAGGTTTCTCCAACTATTTGTGAGTAAGCTGCTCTAAGTATGCCTTCTTCATGAGATACTACTTGTTCCTTTCAAAATAACAGTGCATAAACAGTATGCAAGTGTTAGGCACAGTTTTTTGTATTTCTACTGCTCACACCATACAAAGTCACACTGGAATAAAAGTGCCACTAACGTACTAAGGACATTGCCTCTAGAATTGGCACATCAGAATTACACTAAAAATACACAGCTAACATACAAGGAACTTTTTACTACATGAGCTATGTGATAAAGTCAAGAAGCACTAATTTCAGAATTTCAGGTTGCAAACACTCTACACAACTAGTGACTGGTTAGTAACAGCAACTTGCTCAAAAGCCCAATTTATCACTGTTGTTTCACTTCTGCTGGTTTCCATTTAAACAAGCAAAAGCTTCTTTCCAAATTCTTAGCACTGCAATATTTGTCATTTAAACTTTACAGAAACCTATCTTGTTTTAAAAGTTAATTGTCCTTTAGTCCTATAAAAATTTGCTTGCTCAAGCATGTAACAACCATTATTGATACCGTCCCCTGTGAAATGAAATCTATATCCATATTTTCTCTTTAGAAGAGAAGCAGTTCCAAGAGCAGGACTTTTCTGGCAGATTAGCAACTCCTGGCACGGTTTCTCCTGACTACAGATTATCTTTGAGGCTGCCCGAGATGCTGCCAAGTGTTGTTGCACTGCATTCTTTATTTCATTGGTATGAAAATAGCATTTCCTACCTTGTCACAGCTGGTACCAGCCACCAGACAGGAAACCTCCCCTCCCAAGCTCTTTGCCGCAGTGATGGTGTTGAGGGTGATGGGTGTGAGGGACTCATTGTTGTGTTCTGCCACCACCAAGGTGCTCTGGGACCTCCGCAGCACCGACGCCTGCAAAGGAACGGAGATAACCGAGCAGGAAACTCAGCACTGAAATAAAAACTGTTCCTCTGGGAGTCCAAGGCTTTACAGAAATTAATCACTTATACAAATCATAAAACACTGCTAGCCTCATTCTAGAAAATTTTTATTAAGAGAATACATAGGGTGATACAAAAAGGAAAAGTCAAACCTGCTTGACTTCAGCTTGTGTGTAACGTGCTGTGCTTAAACTGAAACTCCACAGGAAAATACCAAACAAAATTAAGAAAAACGTTTTAACACATTACATTCAAGCTCAGTCAATCAACTTAACCAAGTACCTTAAAGACTGAGGATTAGACAAACAAGAGTAAGACACAATGAAATCTACAGCTGCAAATAAATATTTACTTGGTTTTCTAGGGTGGTTCTCTGGCAGTTTTTTATTATAAGTTTTAAACAAAATCTAGCTACAGAACCCACTTTTATATTTAGAGGCAAAATTTTATGCAGTGGCTGGATGAAAATTAAGCAGCAGGGGCTGACAGCCTGAAAACACACTAGGAGAAATCTTTATAGGCATCAGGTTCACTTTTCCCTCTTTTCCTTCAAAACATCTGAGCACTTAGTCTACCATCACAATTTAATGGTACTTAACAATTTTGACCAATTCACCATCCATACACAAACTTGAGCTTCTAAAGCAAAAATGAAAGAAACAAAAAAGAAAAAAAGGCAAAAAACTGCCATAAAACCAAACCAAAATATTCTAAATTCTGAGGCCTTCCTCTCTAATATTCGGGTGTATCTGTGAAAAGCACTATTCCCCCAAGCCTAATACTAGGGTAGGGAAACCATTTTGGATGGGAACAGGAATAACGTCTCTCAAGCGTTTGTTTACCCTACATAAAGCTCAACTGAAACTTTCAGTTATGATCAATGTAGGATGGAAGACATGGAAAACAAAGTAAATTCATTAATATAACCAAGGAACAAATACTAACACAATGCTGAAGATGCACAAACACTACTTTTTTAAATTTACATTCCAACCCCATCTCTCCTCGTGCCAAACATGCACTTGCCTACAACCCTAAATAAAATAAGCCTCAGAAAATACGAGAGGCTAAAATTTGCACCTGGATTTCAACTGCATAAAGCCTATCAACATACTGAATTTCAAACACAGAAAGAAAATCCCAAGGACTTCCCTGAAGCCAATCACAGTGCACAAATAAAAATACAAGGAAACGTTTTTGCAGAATCTGGATCATAATTTGTCCTTTTGATTAAAACAATAAGATTCTTGTAGAAGTACTCTGCATTTAATCTCTTATGCTCAAGGTTAAGCATAATGCTTATGCTTGCTGTGATTTAATATTCTAAGCTCCTTTGAAACCAATTGCCAGTAACAAAATATTTACTGCCACTATAGATCAGACACTGTATTTTTGATTATGTTTCATACATCATCCACAATAAAAGTAACGAAATTTTAGTCACCATTTGAAGAATAAATCCATGCCTTTGTGGCAAAAAGCCCACTCTCCAATGATTTACAGTTGTGTCATAGGGTAAAGTGGACCATATTCCTGGAAAATCCTCAAGTTTTCAAATTTCCAAAGGGAGACACATGCATTTTAAACACATTTATTTCTGCCTATAGTATCATTTTTCCCTAAATAAGCACTGCACTAGCACCATCATTCTGTCAAACCATTCTAGAATAAACTGAGAAATAATTGTTTTTCAGCCAAAACGAATACGAGCAATAGAAGTTGCTTAAGCAGAGTGGCTATTACAGCATTAATCAGGTATTATTCCTAAACCTATAATCCCATATTTTATATTTGTGGGAATATACACAATATGCACACCAGAAGGTCACTTCATGGATGACATTTCTGAACATAAAGACAAGACCAGATTCAAAATAAATTTAAAGTCACATTATATGACAAATGAGGTTTCTATGTGAGTCTGAATTTTATATACTAGGACACATTAAATAATTTTCTCAATAAACGAAACCAAACCAAACTGACTTTCATTATTTATAATAAAGAATCTGCAGTAAAATCAGAATCCAGTCATATGGTCCTGGAAACTAAGAATCTGCAATGAGTCAATGGTAGAACACACAGTTATTTTGATGAAGTTACTGTCCAGTTGGATGTGTGGGAGAGCAGCCCATCACTTCACTGACATCATTTCTGCTCTTGGGCAGGATGTCTGCTTAGGAAGCCTAAATAAAATAGGAAGGTAGAGAATAAACCTAACCAGCTGGCAGCAAGGAAAGAAAACACTAGAAATAAGACACACAGATCAATCAAAGTGTTGAAAGCAATGCCTTAAGAAGGAACTGCACTCAGTGCTTGAGCCACTGAAGGTTCCTGGTGAAAACCAAGCCCTAGAAAATCAGGCTACCCACAGAAATCACCTCCAGATAAACATCCCACCAACTTGGGCACCTGAGTAGCTTCTGCAGCATGACAGCAGGTAATGACATCCCGGCAACACGGAGGTCGAACTGGGAAGTTTCTTTTCCTCGGGTTAAGGTACAAATCACAGATAGACACCTATGTTCCCTCTACAGCAAAAACATCTGCACTTCCTCTCTGGTGAAAACTCTGGACAGTGACTCAGTTTATACCAAAACTAACATTTGTGAGTGAAAACCACCAAGAATTTCCAACTCCCTCTTCCCTGCTCAGTATTTACTGTAGAGCAAACTTGGCCTCTGACTTCCAGATGTCTAAAAGTTCCTAAGATTAACTCAGATGTGCAATATTAATCAATTAAGCCACTTGCAAAATAGCCACAGATTCACTGCACTGATTGTCTCAAGTTTCCCCAAAGCACTGTTTTGCTCCCCACTGATAAACACATAAATGTTTTCCAAACAGAGCACAAAAATTTTAAGTACAATATCTGCATTTCTAGGCTCCAGACAAAATACCAGATTGGTCACTGCTACTGTCACAGTGTAACATCAGCAATCTGGGCACATCCAGTACACGTGCACAGGTGAAGCCAACACCACACACATCCTGCAGCACTAAATGTGCACAGGTGATCTGCTCTTCACACAAAGCCACTGCAAAGGGAGCAGCTGTGGCCTTTCAGCACACAGCCAGGCCATGAACAGCACTCATGCCTAGCACCTCTTACAGATAGATTTGCTGCTTGTATGCTAAAAAACAGCCCTGTCAAGAGCTGGGAAAACCCAGAGGGAAGTGCCATAAATCTTTGCTTGCTGCTTGGTGAGATTGGTATGCAGCACCCGTGGCCTCTGCTGGCAACACTAGTGGCTGTCCACAGCCTGCTCCAAGGACATTCATTAATAACACCAGAATTAGGAAATCGGCTCCAGCTGAAACATGTGACTGACACAACAACACAAGATGTGTCAGCCAAAAAGTTGTCCCAAGAAATGCCAGAGATGCAGCAGGTGAATTCCACATAGCCCCACGCTCCAAATATGCATCAATAACAAACAGGGTGCTAGAAACTTCACCTCAGAAAAAAAAGTTTGTCTTTCTTTAGAAGAGCCACTGGAAGTTATAGGAACAAAACCAAAACAGACATTCACAAGAGCACCAAACAACTGGACCCACAAAGGTATCTCTAGAGAGTATTTACTTAGTTGTAAAAGCAAACTGGGTAGAAGATAAAATTTTAAAACTGCTTATTAGGAATTCTGGATCTCATGGAGAACCACTAACACAGGACAAAGTTCCCAAGAAAGAGCTCCAGAAACTAGTAATTGGGGTATTACTAAAGATAAAGGCTACATTCCTAAACGACAAAGCAATGCCAAAGTAAGACACAGTCTTGTAGCTGTAAAATTTTAAACTAACTAAATAAATCTGGTAAACTCAGAGAGAAGGGAACTCAAGAATATACTTCTAGAACCTCTCTAAAGACCTGGCTACAAAAGCGGTCTAAGAGACAGCACTGTAACTCCAGGAAACACTAATAAGAAAAACAACACTAAAGGCACCTGAATTAAAAAGGAGCTATAACTGCAGCAAAGAACAACAAGAAAAAAATAAAACCACTTTGCAAAAAGGATTTGGCAATCATAATAAGGACTTAATTTTACAGGGGGATTGAAGCAGCAAGAGAAAGACAAAATACACAATAAACTTCTCCAAATACACCCCATGCAAACCAATAAAAATCAACAAAGCTATTTTGAAATACAACACCGAGTACATTTCAACACAGGGACGTCCCTAAATCGCTTATTCCCACCTCTGCACCAAGTTTCTGTGCACTTGCAGTCTCATTCCTCCTCAGTATTCCCATCTTTAAGTTGTACAAAAGTTCAACTTTCCTTCCTGCTCATACTTCATAGGTGTCTCTCGTCTTTTTCTCTAGACTCCACTCAATCTTGAGCTATAAGCGTCAGCAGGGCTAAACTTTGCACTTTTCAAAAACTGAAACAAAACCTGTGAGTTTGTTTCACTTCTGTCACAGACTACATTATTACACATACACTGAAGATGCACACAATGTTTTTTTACTAGCCTTATTTTACAAAGTTACTAGTTTACACGTGTATGGCTGAAAACCACGCAGCTGACCTCTCACATGCCCAGGCCATGAAACTGAATTGTGCAGTGAGCATGTGAATAAAGTACTGTTTACATAATAGCAGTACCATATGATTCAGAGATCAAGACCTTTGCTCTACAAAGCCTGCAGCCTAACGACAACTGACACATGCTCATGATTATAATAGCATTTTCTGATTAATTCAATCACATCTCACCTAACCTACCTTTGCTCATCTTTTAAGAGATTTTTATTACCTGAAACCACTTAATATATGCATAACTACTATTTTAGAGCTGTACTGAACTGTATTACCTGTAAAAGCCTTGGAGAGCTCAAAAAGAGACTTGCGAGACCTAAAGTTGCTTACAAGGGCTATTTTTACACAGTTCTAGTGGAGGGGGTATCTCCTAGTGCATAGTAAGAGACTGAACAGATATTTGGGGACATCTCATCAATCATCTACTCCAATTAACCTTGAGTTCACCTAGACCTTGGTAAAGCAGCCACGATGACACACCAAGCAGCAAATGGCCTCCAAAAGCCCAGCACTCCTCCCAGCTGAGCAACATGAAGGTCAAACTGCAGAAGCAACAGGTGTTTTGCATTAGTTTCATCCACAAGTTGTGATCATTAAGGCAATCACATTTCTTCACAGGTGTGACTGAGAAACGGTGGATACACATACAGTACTGCAGAAAGCCTCTCCCTGGGCCACTAACATACTTCTAAGTATTTTTAAGAGTTTACAGTAACTTTAGAAGTCTTCTCCATCTGTTGCTCAGCTTGTCCTGCTCAAGGGTGGATGCGAGCGCTCGCCGGGAGTGCTCACTCCCAAAAGTTCGGGACTTGTCTGCCACCTGCGCCAGCTTTCCACACGGGACATCAGTCCTCAACTCCTGCCTGCCGGAGTGACCGCCGGAAAGGGCTTCTGGAGCATGCTGTGTCCGCTCGGAAACTTTATTTTTAACAGACAGAGCGGGAGGGGAGTCCCGAGGGGGAGAAGTCCGAGCCCGGCGGCGCACGGCGCTCGCCTCTCAGAGACCCCCTCGGCCACCGCCGCCGGGCGGGAGGAGCCCGGCCCCGCGCCCCTTCGCGCCATGAGGCAGGGCCCGCCCGGCCGGGGCGGCGGGAAGGCCCCGCTCGGGGCACAGGGCCCGGGGCACAGGGCTCGGGGCACAGGGCTCGGGGCACACCGCACGGCCCGGGGCCCGCCCCGCACTCACCGCCCGCCGCAGCCGCTGCGCCGCCGCCGCCCGCAACATGGTTCCGCCGGCCCGCACCGCGCCGCTCTCGCGAGAGCGCGACGGCCCCGCCCCGCCGGCCCATTGGACCGACCGCCGAGCCAATGCGCGGCAGCGGCGGCGCGGGCGGAACGCGGCGGAGAGCGCGGAGCGGCCGCGCCACGGCCCCGCCGCCCGCCGAGCCCCGCTGAGCCCCGCTGAGCCCCGCTCTGCCCTGCCCCGCCGAGCCCGCCGAGCCCCGTTCTACCCTGCCCCGCTGAACCCGCCGAGCCCCGCTGAGCCCCGCGCCGCCCTCCGAGCCTCGCTCCGTCCGCTCTGCCCCGCTGAGCCCCGCTCTGCCCCGCTCTGCTCTGCCCCGCGCCGCCCTCCGAGTCCCGCTCCGTCCGCTCTGCTCCGCCGAGCCCTGCTCTGCCCCGCTCTGCCCTGCCCCGCTGAGCCCGCCGAGCCCCGCTGAGCCCCGCTGAGCCCGCCGAGCCCCGCTGAGCCCCGCTGAGCCCCGCTCTGCTCCGCTGAGCCCCGCTCTGCCCTGCCCCGCTCTGCCCCGCCGAGCCCCGCTCTGCCCCGCTCTGCCCCGCCGAGCCCCGCTCCGCCCGCCCGTCTCTCCGAGCCGCCCGCTGTCCCCCCTCACGGCCGGCTGGCCCCCTGTGCTCCGGTACAGCCGCCTCTGTCCCGCGGCCCGGCTGGCTGTGTACGCCCGCACTGTACGGCCCGGGCCGTACCGGAGGCAAGAGCAAAGTTGCCGCTGCCGCAAGGGGCCCGTCCAGCCCAAACTGAGCCGGTACCAGCGCCAGCCTCCTGCGGCCGCCTTCGCACGGTTCCCCCGCGCTGCTTCCGCAAAGGGTGACGGCCTTTAAAGAGAAGAAAACATCCGAGAGCAGAGTTATGCCTTCAAATGCCGGTGCTCCTTGCCAGATCCTGTCCTCAACCAGTGAAATGTGCCTTGCGAAGAGAAAGGATAAGTCTTACTTTAGGCTCTGGAGCCAACAGCAGCCTGGGGACTGGCCCCGCCTGCGGCTGCCCAGGAGCTGCCGGAGCCCCCCGGCCGCGCTCCCCACACCAGCGGTGCAGCAAAAGCAGCAGAGATCATGTAGGGACGCTGCAAAGGCCAGATGTCACCGTGCTTCTCAAATGCCGCGCCCCTCCAGTTGTCCGAACCGCACCAAAATTCAAAGACCAGTCAGGTACCACGAGTCCTGGATGGCATCCTCTCACCACGACAGATTTCTGGCTCCTCACCCACATCCCTGTGCTTGGCCCCAAGCAACAGTAAGCAGCAGCTCATGAGCGCTGAATAATTTATAGATCTATTTTATTATTATTATGATTTCCCAGAACCAAGGCAAGACATCTTGTGCCTGCCCCTTACATGGCACCAGGGTGCTCCAGGGACAAGACTGAAACTTGCTGGTTTTCCATACGCATTTTTTTTTCTGGGTGGCAAGGAGAGGGATTTAAAAATCAAGGAAGCAAAATGTTTCAGGCCAAATTCACTGCGCTGTGTGCTATGACTCTCTGAAAATGTGACGTCCTGGAGAAGCTGGCAGGAGCTGCCACACTGGAGCAACTGGTCCTGCCAGCCCAGGAGCCCCAAGCACACATGGATTTGGAACACTTCAGAATGGAATTCCCATCCCAGAAATCACAAGATAGTGAGCCACAAATGCAGTTTCTTCCTTCCCATCCTGAAGTGGCTTGGAGTGTAAAAAACCCCAAACATTCCCCCCCCTCACCCAGCAATTATGGCCATTGGATTGTTCCTCCAAGAATCAGCGGTGATCTTCAGCACGTCAGTGATTCGTTCTGCATTGCTGGGTCGCTGCATAAGAAGGCAAAGGCAGATTGATCAAAAAGGCTCTTCAACTTTGCCACAGTCTTGGCACAGGATCACCTTTTAAATTTATTCTGCCTTGTGATTTTCATATCGGATGCCAAAAAGTGCTGCTTTATAGCAAATGCTAACCAGGTCCAGCAACTCAAGCATCTAAATGGACAATTTACTTCGTCTCAAATGTCTCTAGAATAGAAGAAAAGCAGCTGTCCTGCATATTACAGCTCCCTGGCCCCAGAGCAGAACCTTAACTCCTCAAGCCCCAAAGGAGGGCTGCAAAGGAAAGAGCTAAAGGAGGTGGCAAACCTCCTTCAGGGCCTGTGCCTGATTATATGGATTAAAGTAGCTCCAGGGCTGGTCTGACTTCTGCCTGGTCTGGCTCCACCCTTTAGTCCCCAAAAAAGGAGGAAAACCAAATGAGCGTTTGGAGCTGCCTGTGAATCCTCTTCTGTGCAAATGACCAAGTGAAAAAAAACAATTGTTTCTATGAAGATGAGGGGGAAGATGGTTTTGCAGAAGCCCCAGTACTCTGAGAGGGGTTTAAAAAGAGGGTTACTATTTGCTGTGGCTCTTTATCACCAGTTTGAATGATGGTTAAGGTGCAGTGTTCAGAGATGCGGAGTTTTATACAGTATAGAAATCCCTATCTACACCCTAGGTAATCAAACAAATGCAACAGCAAAAGGCAAAATAAGAACATCCTAGGCATCCTTAATTTGGCCATTATGTCTTAATTGGGGTATTTTACTCATTAAAAGCGTGGCATGTAATTTCATAATCCTATTTTAGGCTCCAAAACTAAGCTTCCAACATGGACATCTCATGCGGATGAAATATTTACAACAAACATACACCTAAAACCCCCAAACCACAAGAATAAACAAAGTGATCTCATTCAAGTTGGGGCTTTACTGCCTCGCACTAAAACAAAAGTGAGCTCCTATCAAAACTAACTAAATGCATCATAGCCAATAATAAATTGATCCATTCATTGTGTGTCTGGCTTTATAGCACACACATCGTATTTTCATGAGTGACATTGCTACTCTTTAGGTCAGATTTTAGAGGTGTAGCATCACCAATTCAGAGACAAGACAGGCTTCTTATTATATTTTCTGTTTATAATTTTGATTCAAATCCTCACCAACACTTCAGATGCACAAATCCTTATTGAAACTGGCTTGATGCGGATTACAGCCTGAAGCACAAAGGAAGTCTTTATCACTTATGGCCAGTGTTTTAGGAGCTTATAACTGTAATCAGGTAGGGATTATATCAGCATGATCCATACAAGCTGAACTATGGCAAAAAGCTTTTCTCTATTTGACCTTCCCATGACAATAACAGAAATGGAAAACATGCAACAAACAGATGCCACTGAAGTAGAATCACTGTCCACGGCAGGCAGAAGTTACTACTTTGTATTTTGAAAGAAAAATTAGTCATTAATTAGTGGAAGCAGATCCTTGTATAGTGCATTGTTATCCAGGATTATTTCATTAGGATCTGCTGACCCAATTTCTTCATTGGAAAGAGAATTACATTTTTTCACACTATTGGGATTGGGGAAAAGAAAAAATAATAACACAGATTACTCTAACTTTTAAAAATATGTTTGCAAACACGGAGAGGTACCTGTATTGGTATCTCTACAGAAGCCAAATGAAACAAGGACCATTACAAATATGTAGTGATGTCTTCTCTAGAATAGGATTTTGGTTTTCTTAAAATACATAATTCCTAATTAAAACATATGGAATCCAGGTAATACAGCCTCATGACTAAGGGATTTATGAAGAGCAGGACTTTTTTTTTATTACTGCTATGATGGCCCCCTCTGTCACAGGTTATCCTTAGCTTACTCCTCCCGCAATCACCCTGGGGATAGCTGACTCAGGTAAATTAAAAGACCTTCATTTGGGAAGCTTCCCCAACACACGAAAGGATTCGCCTCCTAATCTGTCAAAATCCAATAAAGTTAAAGCAACTGCAACCTGCTGACAGCTCAGCAGGACCCCCAAACCAATGGACAGGACCCACAGCCCAGCACCAGACGGGACTAAAATCCACCTTGGAAGCAGCAGCAGGAGAGGTTGCTGCTGCTGCAATATTTTATATCCAAGTGCTGTGAACTCACGGGGTCTGTGTGGTTTGGCCACCCCAGGACGTTGCTGGTCCCCCTGCACTCAGCCCCTGCCCAAGACACGAGTTGTACGCAAGAGGGATGTGTGTCCCCAGTGCTCTCTGCCCCTCATCATCACTGGCACAACGACTCATCTCCACATGTTGACACCGTAGGTCCTTTATAATAAACCACCACAGGTGTGTGGTTTATTAGTGCTCTGCTCAGATCACCTTCCAGCCACTCATTTGCATGGCTCTGAGCAGCAGCTGCTCTTTCCTGAGGCCTTACAGAAGCCTTTGGAAGGGGACAATGCCACAAGCCCAGCTTACAAAGTACAGGACAGCAGAAAGGGCTCCCCCAAAGCTACCCCATAGCAGGGACAACCCTTCTAATACTGAGCCTACAAAATCACCACAGACAGGCATTTTCTCTTTTTTATAAACTACTCTCCCTTGCTAATAATTTCCATGTGCCAGTCAAGTAACAAGGGAGCCGGGAGTAACGGGAGCTGCATATTCCTAAAGAACAAGATCACCTGAGGAGTTCAAGAAACCCTTTCTGCCAAGCTCACAGGCAAAATGGGACACTCATAACCTCCTGAAAGCAAAGGCTCAGGTTACCTTGGAAGGCAACTTGTCCTGCTCAGGAGTGATGGTGTTTTGTGGAGGACAAGGGAAACAATGCTGGTGAGAAGAGATCTGCTGCCCTCCCAGTGCAGACACCTGGATGGGGTTTTACAACCTGCCAACCTCCTTCTGCACGTAGATTGCCTTGTTGTTAATGGCAGATATGTGTAAAATTCTTTGACAGGTTGTACAAGCATTATTTTTTTCAAGGGGTAGCTGCGCTTTTTTGCCCATTACATTGCTGGAAAGGAATCCAGATGCCACTGTATTCCCACTCACACCAGCCTGAGCTATTCCTGCAGCAGAGTTTTCCAGAGGAAAAACTCTTCCCCTGCCTCTAAGGACTTTTCAAGGAAAGTTACTTTTTCCTTTTTTCTTTCTGTTTCAGCTCAGTCAATAGCACTTTTGTGTAAGCACAGCAGCTGCAGTAGGCCTTGTTTTCAGTGTTTTGGAACCTGCTTGATTTTTGATATTTTTATTGCAGAGCCCTTTAGGGAGGAGAACTTTCTGGTGAGTTACCTGCCACTTATAGCACCTGGTGACAAAGGCTAAGGTACCTCCTCCTTGCCCTGTCACAAAGTCTAAGATGGAGTCTACGAAGTCTGCAGTTTACCCATTGCCTTTAATCCTGCAGATAATGGCATAACAAGATCCAGTGTCTGGGGGTTGAACCTAAACCATACACTTGGGTGTCCATTCCAGTGAAAGTATATAACAAGCAGGATGCAAGAGCAAGGCAGCCTCTCCTGCACTGCAGGTGACACCAAGACCAGATGACTGAGGAGAGATGACTGAGGTCAACCATAAATTAACAGGCTCATTGTGAGGGGAAAAAAAAAAAAAAAAAATTCTGTGTAAAATTGCATGGTCTGATGTGAAGGAGACCAGAGGAGATGGGCCAATAAGTCTTTTCTGCACTCATGAACTTTCTGAATCTTTCTTATCCGGAGTGGGGAAATGGCAAGGGCTCCCTTTGCCATGTTACCATGGCTGACTCTTAATCACTAGCAGGGCTGGCAGTAGCTGTTGTGCAACACCACTTTCCCCAGCGCTGGGCCCTGTTCCCCTGCAATGCTCCCAACCCCTGCTGGTCTCAGAAGAATTGAGCCCAAAGCTCCACATAGCAATTCAAATGCATCACCAGACATTAGGCCACCGGGTTAACCACTGTTTAATTTCGTCACATTTGTTTGTGAGTTATGTACGTGCCTTTCTTTTGTCAACATCTCCTTTTAGAAAGGATATTGATTTTGTTTTCAAAGGCTCTCGAAAATAAAATGAATGACTACATTCTAAGGAAGAGTCATTTTCTCAACAGCTGTAAATAATTTATTGTTTGCAACCCACCCAGATCAAAAGATACTTCATCAACTGATGTGGCAAAATCTGGTGCAAGCTGCATTTCTATTATCTCAGATCCAATTAACCATTTGGAGCAGACTAAAACATAACTAGATCAATCCAGAATCAGATTAATATCCAATCCACAATCACATTAATCACAATCTGTCCATAATTAGCCATCAGATAATCCCATTGGACAGGAGGTGACATGCAGTATCCCATTATCTCATTAATTATCTATTTTCAGTATCAGACATTGTGCCCAAACACAAGGAAATGTTTTTTTTAAAGGAAAATGGATAGGGAATTCTCATTTTGCTACATCTTCCCCACTGAAGCTCCCAATGTCTTGGTATTGGAGTTTTACAACATTTCTTTGTTTTGCCATATTCTGCTAGGACCAAGGGAGATTTTTTGAGAGACGTTATCTTTTTAATAAATTATGACTATCTTAGGAAGATGGATAAATAAAACATTTGTTTCGTGTGAACAAGTTTGTGAAAGAAAGAAAACTCTTCATCAAAGGTTTTAATGGTAACATGATAACAATGGCTTTGCAATGCTAAATCTTATTGCAGATGGTTCCTGTCCTTTTTTGTAATGTAAGTGAAATTGCGTTCCATCTGTTTTAATTTTATAATGGACTTAATCCATGGTTGGCTCTGAAAGAATCAGCATTTACTGCCTTTGCAATCTGCTGCAAACAAAAAGAACAGTTACCGTTTCCCCCTTCTAGAGGGAACTTGTACATCTCTTTGGGAGCAAACCCCAGAGCTGCTCTGTAGAGAGAGGGAAGCACCATTAGGCAGCCTCACCCTGTGGCCAGGCAGCCCCTGCCAGCTCTCACACCAAACCCGGCCAGAACTGCTGCCAAAGAGACTGGAATCTCTGGTGGAGGAGAGCAAGGAGGAATCAGTGTGACAGGAGAGAATTGCACTTGGCTTTGACTAGAAAATGCTTCCAGCAGCTCCACGTTACCTGAAGACAAGCTTCCAGAGGTGCCTCCTGGACTGAATTATTCCACGACTTTATGATGTGCTTTCCCTTACCTTCCCTCAGATGAACCAACAATTAACCTGTTTGTAAAACATGTGGTATCAAGCTGGTTTAAGGCCTCGTGGCATTACCTGTAGTAATTTTAAAGCTTTTTGTATATCACATAGAGGAAATGCAGGGCTTTCAGCATTTCCCTGGCAAGTAATTTTTTTGTTTTTTCTACTGGCAGTGCCTGTGCAGCACTGCCTACCCTGTTCCTCCCTGCCTGGTTGTGACGCAAGTCCAGTCCAACCGTACCTGCCTAGTGTGAGCACATTGCTCTGTTTGGATACAGGTGTGACTGCAGCACTGCTTTGCATAGGTTTGGAAAAGTTTGGTTGGCTTAGCTGTAACTTTACTAATTCCTAAACCGGTGGGAGGTTTGGGAGAGCAGACAGGATCCTGCCCTCGAGTGGGAAAAGGGTGATGCAACACAGAGCATCCCTGCCAAGCTGCTGTATTCTTAGACATGTCTCATTCTCCTATCACTCTGACATTTTTGCATTTTATTGTTAACACATGCAGATGCTGACTCACCCAGGACTCTGAATTCTGGCTCAGACTGAAGTCACCCTTCTGCACCCTCTTGTCTGCCAGGTGCCCAGGCACGGACCTGTGGTGCCCCACAGTGCTGTAGAGGTTCCCATCACCCAAACCTCGGGGCAACCCCACTTTGAAGACTCAACCAAACTTTTCCAGTTGCCTACATCCCTCTCACCCCCCATCCAGCTCTGCCACTGGCAAGTGAGCCTCGCCAGTGGCAGGCAGCAGTCAGACCACACCCCCCAGCAGGGTACACATGGGACTGAGGATGTCACTGCTTCACCTTTGCACCTTCGCACACACAGGGGCAGGCAGAGATACCAAAATCCCTTGGTGACGTGCATCCCTGCTGAAGCGGGTGCTTCAAATGCCATCCACCCTCCTTTCCCCCGCAGCTGCTGTACAAATTTAAGAACTTGCTTTCGACATTTGGGGTCCTCAAAGGGGTAGCAGAGGCTGTGACCAGGCTGGGAGAGCAGGTCAAATAGTGAAGCACTTTATCCAAAAGGTCCTCTCCCCCTCCCCAGCTTCTGGGGTTTCATACCTGCAGGGTGCCCTGCTCACACCAGACAAGTTCTTCAGCTGGAAAACCCATCCCGCCTCCCTCCTCTGAGGAAAATGACACAGCCTGCCCTTCCTTAGCCAACATATAAAGTCACCATGTCCTTCCCAATCCGTACAGGTTGGCAAATGCCTGCCAAATTCCATGTGTGAAATTTAAAAGGCAATTGCATGGAGGTGAAGGACAGGACCAAAGCTCCAAGACAGCAGCAATCGCAATTCCAGCATGTTTAAGTTTTCCTGGACCTTATGAAGGACTCGTGGTGCTGTACTGCAAAGTCTTTGGAAATTTAACACTGAGTCAAAGGCCACAGAAGTGCTTTCCCTATTTTTCTGCTAATGTACAGGAAGCCTATGGTGACTGGGGGAAAAAAAGGGAGAAAAAGGAAGGCATAAAAATGCAACAGGAGAGATTCAGCTGCGGAAACAGCAAGGAATCGGGTGCATGAACATGCGGTAAGATATTATTTTTCTCCGCTAATTTCAACTCATCACAGGGCTGCTGCCCGGGACGGCCGCCCCGACGATGCGGTCGGTTCTGTTCGGGTCCGCTGGGGTGGCTCTCCCGCACACAGGCCGCAGCAGGGAACTGCTCCGCGGGTGCGCAGCGTCGAGCCCGCGTCCGCCGCGCAGCCCCTTCCCGCCTGCCGCGGAGATGCTCCTCTGCGCAGCGCCGGAACCGTCCCGCCGAGCCCGCCCGCGGGCACCTGCCAGCGGCACGCCGAAACTCAGGGGAAATAACAACGAAATAAGATGAAAAAGAGACTAGAAAGAGAAGGAAGAGGGAAATAAAAAGAGAAAAAATTAGGCGAACTAGAAGTCAAGAAGAATAACAGGAAAAACAGAGGAGGAAAAAAAGCTATGATCCATCTCCTTCTCCTCGGGTTGCCGATGCCGCCGCTCCCTGCGCGCACCGGGCCGAGGCGCCCCGCGGCGGGCGGGGCAGAGGGTCCCGCGGCCGCCCGGGGCGCGGAGGAGCTTCTCCCGTCCGTGCCGGCGTCGTGCGGCTCCGGGCCGGACCGCGCGGGGCTGCGCCGCGCTCCGCGCCCCCCGGCGCCCATTGTTCGGCAGCGCCAATCCGCGGGCCGTCCCCGCGGCCGCCAATCGCCTCCGGGGGCCGCGCGGTGAGGTCAGCGCCTCTGCGCGGTGACATCACGGCGCGGCCCGGCGGGGCGGGCCCGGGGGGGCGGGCGCGGCCCCCGCCCCGCTCCGCGCGGGTAGTGCTGGAGCGGTGGCTCCGCATCCCGCATCGCTGCCGGTGCGCAGGGGGCCGCCCGCATGGTGGACATCCTCCTCCCGCGGCCGCTCCCGGGCGCCATGGGGGAGCCCTCCAAGAGTAAGTGCGCGCAGCGCAGCGAAACGCGGGGCCAGGGCGGGCGGGCGGGCGCGGGACCCTGCGGGTCCAACTCCGCTGCCGTCGGGTGCACTGGCGGACGCGGGCGCGCTGACAGCGCCGGGAAGGGCTGCGGCCCCACGGCGGGCGTGGGCTGCTGCGGGCTCGGCCCGTGGCAACTCCAGTGCCGCTATTCCCGTTCGTGCCCGGCGCTTCCCGGCCCCGCTGTCCTTTCTGCTGTCCGCGCCGCTGAGCTCATTTCTTTCGGCTGTTTCCATTTCTTTCTCTGCTGCCCTTTGCTCTTCCTTCCTTATTTCTTTCTTTCTTTGTCCGTAATACCGTTTCTCTTTCTTTATCTCTTTCGTGTTTAAGTTTGTATTTTTTTTAAATTTCTTTCCATTTTCTTTAAATTTTATTTTCTTTCTGTTCTTGTTTAGTTCTATTTCTCTTTCTGTCGCTTTGATTCCGTGTCTCTTACGCTTTTCATTTGTCCATATTTCCATTTTAATTGTCTCTGGGTTTTCGATGCTTTTATATCTCTTCCCATCATTCTGTCTTAATTTTTTTTCCGTCTTCCTTTTTTCTTAGTTTCTTTCCTTATTTCTTTCAAGTTTTCCTCAGCCATTGTTTTATTGGTTTTGAGTCTCTGCTTTTATTTTCCTTTTCCAAAATTCTACTTTTACATTTCTGTCTTTCAGCATTTATTTGCCTTGATCAAGCTTCTGTATTTCCTTTTTTTTTTTTTTTTTTCCTGGCCGTATTAATTTGTCTCCTTTCATGTTTCCGTCCTTTCTGTCTGCGTGTCTGTCTTTATTTCTCATTCTTCCTATTTTGGAAAAAACCAAACCAAATCAAAATAAGAAAAAAGGATGAAGTGTAAAAAAGAAAAAGTGCTTTTCCCTAATTGCTGGCCTCTGCTGTGGCGCACTGCCGGCTCTGACTGTACCCTGCTCGCTCCCGGCAGGGCGGCCAGGGCTGGCCCTGTGCGCAGGCTGCGGGGGCCGTATCCAGGACCCCTTCCTGCTGCGGGTGTCGCCGGACCTGGAGTGGCACGTCGCCTGCCTCAAGTGCGCCGAGTGCGGGCAGCCCCTGGATGAGACCTGCACATGCTTCCTGCGCGACGGCAAGGCCTACTGCAAACGAGATTACAGCAGGTGACCCCGAACGCGCCGGCGCTCGTTAGGAAAAAAAATGACCCGGGCCCGAAAAAGCACAAAAGCCCCTTAAGCTCCCCTAATTTTCCCCCAACGAAAACCGGACTCTCGGCCGCTGCCCGCCCCCGCGGCGCCGCCTGGAGCCTCCCCGACGGCGCGGCCGCGGGCGCTGACGGCGCGTCGCGTTCCCGCAGGCTCTTCGGCATCAAGTGCGCCCAGTGCCGGGCGGCGTTCAGCAGCAGCGACTTGGTGATGCGCGCCCGCGACCACGTCTACCACCTGGAGTGCTTCCGCTGCGCCGCCTGCGGCCGCCAGCTCCTGCCCGGCGATCAGTTCTGCTTGCGGGAGCGCGACCTGCTCTGCCGCGCCGACCACGGGCCGCCCCCCGACGGCGCCGCCGCCCGCGGCCCGCGCAGCCCCGCGCTGCCGCCGGCCGCCGCCGCGCACCTCGCAGGTACCGGCTCCCCGGCGGGGCGGGCGCGGGGCGGGGAGGGTGTCGGGAGGGCTGCGGCGGGCGAGCGGGCGGCGGCGCTGACGGTGCGCGCCCTCCCCGCCCGTCGCAGAGCCGGTGCCCGGGAGGCCGCCCGCCCCGCGGCCGCCGGCGCACAAGGCGGCGGAGAAGACCACCCGCGTGCGGACGGTGCTGAACGAGAAGCAGCTGCACACGCTGCGGACCTGCTACGCCGCCAACCCGCGCCCCGACGCCCTGATGAAGGAGCAGCTCGTGGAAATGACGGGGCTCAGTCCCCGCGTCATCCGCGTCTGGTTCCAGAACAAGCGCTGCAAGGACAAGAAAAAGTCCATTCTCATGAAGCAGCTCCAGCAGCAGCAGCACAGCGACAAGACGGTGAGCGCCCGCCCTCCCCGGCGGGGTGGGAGATGTGGGTGGGGGGCTGGGGCCCGCGGGCTCGGGCGGCAGTCGCCTGAATCCCCGTGTGCCCGCAGAGCCTTCAGGGCCTCACCGGGACGCCGCTGGTGGCCGGGAGCCCCATCCGCCACGAGAGCGCCGTGCAGGGCAGCGCCGTGGAGGTCCAGACGTACCAGCCGCCCTGGAAGGCGCTCAGCGAGTTCGCCCTGCAGAGCGACCTGGAGCAGCCCGCCGCCTTCCAGCAGCTGGTGAGCCGCGCCGGGCCGTCCGTCGGGCCGCACGGGCCGGGCGGGTGCCGGTCCGCTGGGCCCGGGTGCTGAGGGAGGGGGACGGGGCAGGGGGCGAGCGCGCCAGGCCCTCACCGCCGCTGCTCCCCAGGTCACCTTCTCCGAGTCCGGCTCCTTGGGCACCTCCTCCGGCAGCGACGTGACCTCGCTGTCCTCCCAGCTCCCCGACACCCCCAACAGCATGGTACCCAGCCCGGCCGAGACGTGAAGCGGCCCGTCCGCCCCGCCGCGGGACCTCCGCATGCCTGCGCTCCCTGCATGAGACACCCGGCCCCGGGCCGCTCCCAGAGCGCCGGACAAACGCCTTTGTTTTTTAATTATTCTTATTTAAAAACAAACAAAAATTGTATTACTGTCGGCCAAAAAAGCACCGGGATCCTCGCTGCCTTCACCAGACCGGAGAGAGAACCCCCGTCCTGGTTTTTTCGTGGTTTTCTTTTTTTTTTTTTCCCTGCGGATTTCGATGTTTCTTTTCCCCAAAGAAACTCGGATTTCCCTGCCGAAGCCCGGCACGGTGACAGGCTGCCTCGCCGGCCACTTGCGCTGGGGACAGTTTTTCTTTCCTTTCTGAAAAGGAAAAATAAGTAATAAAAAAATCTACAAAATGGGGAGAGACTCTTCCGGCGTGCGGCCGCGGAGCTGGCCTGGACCTTCCTCTGCAGAGCCGCGCCGTCCAGCCTCATCTCACACCGATGCCTCTTCCGGGCCATGATGCCCGGCCCCGCACGATCGCTGGAAAAACGGGACACGGAAACGAGACTTTTTAACGGGAAAACCAGTACTAATAATGTTAAGTTATCAATGGACGAAGGATGGATTGTTTGCGCCTTTAACGATCAAAAGTAAGTTATTGTTATTTATTGTCAGTCAGCGGTTGAATAGTGGGATTAAATATTTTGGACTTAATAAAAAAAAAAAAAAAAGAAAACAAAAATGGATTTAAACGAAAAAACGAAAAACGAACTAAAAAAAGTCGTGGAAGGGCGGCGAAGGGGCACCCCAGACGCGGAGGTTGGGATCGGAACAGAGCGGGTCGGGACGGGCACAGCTCTGGCTTCTCCCGCACGGCCTCACCGCACCACGGTAATCCGCTTTCAGAACCGGGGCCACTTATTTATAGCCGGGAGGGCGGAGAGCAGGTTTCTCCTTCGGAGCAGCCCCCGGGCTCGCCCGGCCGTGCCCGCACCTGCCGCGGTGCGGGGCCGGGCGCCTCCTCCCTGGGGGCGGCGGGGCTGGGCGGCGGGGCTGGGCGGCGGGGGCTCTCCCGGGGCGGCGAGGCGAGCCCTCCCTTCCTGCGTATCCATCCCCCCGTCCAGAGCCAGGCGGAGACTCCTTATCTGCCTCTGGCATCACCTGGGAGCGCGGCAGCGCCGCTCCAGCTCCCGCGCCCTCCCCCTTACCCTCGCGGCGCTGCTCAGGACCCGCTCCCCGCAGGATCGCAGGCCCGGCCAAGCTCAGAGCCGCCCCCTGGCCCCATCCCCGGGCAGCCGGGCCGTGCCGGAGCCCTGCGGGCTGCAGGGGACGGGCAGCGCGGCGCCGCGGCGGCTCCATCACCGCGGCAGACCGCGGAGCGCGTGTGCAGGACCGGGCTGCAGAGCGAGCTGCCGTCGGGGCGCACGGAGCGGCGGGGCCGCCTCAGCCGGGCTGCTCCGCACCGCCGGGACGGGAATTCTCCCGGCTGGGGACAGGTGGGGATGGCAATCCCGCCGCCCTCCCAGCCCCGCCGCGGGGCCCCCGCCGTTACCTGGCTCTGTCCGGTCGGGCTGGAGCTCCGCGCGTTCCCCCGGCGCTGGACTGGAGCGAGGTGCGCGGCTCGCCTCAGGCCTGCCACGGGTCGGGCCGGGCCGCCACGGGCGGCACTGGGGCCGCCAAGGAGGGACTGTTCTGCTGCCTGCCGCGATCACGGTGCTGGTCCCCACTCCGGCACCGGCCGTGCTGCCGTTGCCCGCGGGCCGGGACCGGCGCCGGCCCCGCCGCAGCGCAGCGCAGGGCCGGGCCGCCGCGGGCCCCTCAGCGCCGGCCCCGCCACAGCGGCTGCGGCCGGAGCGCCGCGCGGGGCCTCCGCCGCCAGGCCTCGGGAGCCCCGCTCGAGTCCAGCCGAGGCGTTAAAAATGCATGAGGTCTAAAAACTGCCTTAGGTGACGTATCCTTCATCACCCAAAACATTATAAGCAAACTTTCCCCAGGGCCAAATCTGACGAATTACTTTGATTTGATTCTGATTGACTCTTGATTACTGAGAAATACATCTCATGAGTGTTTTTTTCCTCTCTTTTTGAACCATGTTGCTTATGGTAATTCAAACATACTGATGATTTTAACACAGGAATCACACAAGACAGAATAAGTTATTTTATTACAAGATATATAGAACATATTTTCTCTATTTGCAACCTTATTTCAGCAGTTCTGCAGTGTAAGTCCCACCACAGGGCAGAAAACACCAAAATCATGACATTGGATACAAGAACGAAATAAACTCAAATTATCAAAATTACAAAACAGAACTTGGAACTATCTACAGTACTTATATAAATAGTGCAAATTATAGATCTATAGGATAAGTATTTAGAGTATCAAAACCATTTTGGAACAGTGTTTTAGAAGAAGGTAGTCAGCAGTGTGACGATGTTAAGGATTTGAAAGCTAAATAACAACTCTTATTTTTTCAAGAAGAACTGTCGAGCTTCTTCCCAGGACTGCCGGGGGAATCTGTTGGAGAGCTCAAGATAATCTTGAGAACTGAAAAATTTTTCTGTTGAAGACAGAACATAAAATTACCAAGTTATTCCCTCTTAAGATAAAATGGCAGTAAAACAAGAATAATGAATGTGCAGCCAATTTGAGATACTTCAACTAATTTACTCCCCTCCCCCTATCCAAATCTCCTCAGACCATGGGGTGACACTTCTGTGGAGCTCCTGGCATCTAGGCTTGGCTTTAAGAATGGGGGCAGAGGCTCTGATGAGCAAAGGCTTCCATTTGTTAGCTGATCAGGCTCTCTGCCCCGTGCAGAGGAACATTTTACATCTTTTCACACTTCGTTCTTGGACACACTTGGTGGACCAGCTCAGCCCCATTATACTCCGGGCAGCCTCAGTGGCATTTTCTGCTCAGCAGTTTCTTTTTTTTACCACAAAGGGCTGCAGAAGAGTTGTGCTCCCGACTCCCCAGAGCTCAGAGCACGAGCACAAATGCAGCTTTCACTCCTGAGAGTGTGCAGTGACGTGGGCAGGACTTCACTGTGCCACGTTTGAGGGTCTGACCCTCCATGCAGCACCCCACTATAAAGTTTGTGCTTCCAGGTTTTATTCCCGTCTGTGTTATTATTCCCATTTTTTGGGGGGATACCATCCTTCACATTCAAGTGATATAAGAAATAAAAATAATCCTGCCTACACTATTATTAACTTTTTTGCAACTGGGGTATGTTTAGAAATCCCACTCACATGTAACCACATTTTTGTTTAAAAGTTCCTCCAGTTTGAATAGTGAAAATAAAAAGCAAGTTTTCCACTTGGATTTTAGATGTTTCTTGAGAAGAATCTAATGGAAATACAGTCCTGGAAACTTGGTGCTGCAGAGACTGCACGAGTCTGTTTCAGACTGAGATGTCTGATGTTGACAGTAAAAATGTCTATAAAGTTACTCTCATTTTGTAATGTATTTTTAAACAAAAACTTGATGCTTCTGACCTAGAACCACTCACCTCCTGGCAAATGCTGAGAAAATGGTGGTGGATTTCTACTTATGAGGCAGAAATGACTATCTGAGTGTCGCATTTTATGCACAATTCTCAAGACCAGATGCCCATCAACACTTGAATTTCAGATGTGTTTAGCAAGTAACAGCCATCTCAGCTGAGAATCTTTCAAATGTTTAGCCTAAAAAGGTTGACTGCATTTACAATAATATTTATAATAACTGAGGGGGAAAAAAAATCACGACTCTTCTGCAAACTGACAAACTTTAAAGGACAATTACAGGACAGTATTTTAGAGATTTTTGGCTCCTTGAGTGTATTGGCATAGCTGTGTAGCTTCTGTAACCTAAAACTTTTGAAGGCAGCCTTTGTGTCAGCTAATTAAATATGCAGAGGTACGGTATCACATTTTAAGACACGATACCACGTAGCATTGAATAAAGATTAACAGTCTGAATCCCTGATAGACGAGCAGCAGACTGGAAGACACGTATGTGTAGGTCAGGATGCAAGCCAGGGAGCCCATGCCCAAACTGTAAATGTACTGTATTCCTTTTCAGCCATGCCGACTCAAAGAACTTAAATCACAGTATCTACACATTTTGTTACCCAGTTGTTACTCTGTTACACTGCAGGGAACATACCCCTTTGCTGAGAGAACTGATTTTCCACTTGGCCTGAGCTCTGTGCAAAATCCTATGGGGGAAAACAGACAAAAAAAAAGACATCAGGTTTTCAGATCTTACATCTGAGGAATTAAAACAACATTTTAAATCATGGTCATTCAAAAATACTAATACTTCATGAAATCTGTAAATTAGCGAATTCTGGCTTGTTTGCTACATATCATAACACAATACTGATGGCACTTATATTCTGTAATTTACAGTGAATTTTTTTACATTTATTTATATCTGTTTTCAAGAAATACATTTTAGTTAATGTCTTCCTAAGAAATAGTTATTATTGTGATTTTTATTTACCATAGCCATGTTTCTGTAAAACAAATGGTGTTTCAGATTTTTGCTCCCAACTCCAAATATACTCTTACAAAATTCGTGACTGATCCCAATTTCAATGGCTGTGCTTCCCAGCGACTTGGGAGCCTGAGGTGCTGATCTCCTGGGAGAAGGTGGAGTTGCTGCCCAGTGCTGCTGGCCCTGGCAGCCAGCTGTGCCCCAGCTGTGCCCCAGCACTGCTGCTGTCAGGCATTGGGATGCAGCATCCTCGGAGCCAGCACGGACACCGAGCTCGCCCGGAACCAGCCAGCTCCCCACTAACAGATCCTGTTCTTTGCTGGAGTCTCCACCCAGCAGAATATTGAAGAAGGGATCACCCGAGATATGAAACAACACAGCAAATAATGGATACTCCTGAATGTTTCTATTTACTCCTGCACATCTCCAACAGAAGTAACAAAAATAATCAGGCTGATGCAAACTTCAGCTGATGGAAATAATTCTGTCGGTAGGGAGAGTGCTGTAAAATGCAGAAATGCTCCTCCTTTGATTTTGGCTGCACATTTAACACACTGTATTTAAGTGTTATATTCGTACATACCACTAAACTTTTACGTAAACGAGACTTCATTTGGCATTCCCTGGCAAAGGAAGAATCTCATTTTCTAGTCACAGGGCAACATTTT